AGAGCAACCAACTTTTATTTCTTGCTCACAGGACTAGCAGACTCCTGTGGCTCTGCAGGATGTGGCCGGGCTCAGCCAGACCTGGCTCCAGGCTCTAGTCTGGGTTTAAATGTGCTCTAGGCTTTCCTCATTCTGGCCTAGCAGCTTCTTTTCATGGCATAGAACCGAAATGCAAGAGACTGAGCCAGACCATGCGTGTTCGTTTATAGCTTACTCACATCACGTCACATCACATCACTCACTTTCCCCTGGCCATAGCCAGACTGACAGCTGACCTTCCCAACCCTAAGGGGCCAGAAAAATGCACTCCTTCCATGGAGGTGAAGTGAGGGCAGATTCACTGAGTTTTAATAAGATTGATTACAACCATAATCTGCTTTAGTCTGTTTTAAATACTTTTAGTAAAATTAAAAGGCAGTAAGGGTCTTAGGACAAGCCACAGAATACTGATTTCCACTGGAATTGCCTGGGTTTTTTTGGTGTTGTTTGTTCGTTTGTTTGTTTTGCAGTTTTCAGCTGGGGCTAGGTTTGAACCTGCCACCTCTGCCATATGGGGCTGATGCCTTACTCCTTTGAGCCACAGGCACCACCCTGGAATTGCCTTTTGTTCTGGACATCTCTGCCATTACAGAAAAAGAATCAAACCTGTTTTGTTTGTTTGTTTGTTTTTGTTTTTGAGATAGAGTCACTGGGTGACTGGGTGGAGTGTTGTGGAGTCATCATAGCTCCCAGCAACCTCAAACTCCTGAGCTCCAGTGACTCTCTTGCTGCAACCTCCCAAGGAGCTGGGACGACAGGTGACTGCCACAATGCCCTGGTAATTTTTCTATTTTTAGTAGAGATGGGGTCTTTCTCTTGGTCAGGCTGGTTTCAAACTCCTGAGCTCAGGCAATGCACTCACCTTGGCCTCCCAGAGTGCTAGGATTACAGGTGTGAGCCACTGTACCCAACCCACGGTTTTCTAAATTTGGGAGGGTCAATTTTTTTGAGACAGAGTCTCACTATGCCCCCCTCTGTAGCATGTTGTGGCATCACAGCTCACAGCAACCTCGAACTTTTGGGCTTAAGCGATTCTCTTGCCTCAGCCTCCCAAGTAGCTGGCTATTTTTTGGTTGCAGTTATCACTGTTGTTTAGGAGGCCCAAGGTGAGCTTGAACCCACCAGCTTTGGTGTATGGGGCCAGCACACTACCTACTGAGCTACGGGTATCTCCAAGGGAGGGTCACTTTTCAAAAGTGTTATTTACATACCATCACCATTACGTATGGAATCTTACATTTTTGTTTGAATTACTTTTAGTGTCTACCGCAGTGTAATTATTTTTACAAGGGAAGACAGAGAATAGGTGATGAGTTCAGGAACTGAATTAAGACTCTCAAATTATTGGATTAGAAACCTCGAGTCTTTACTTATACTCAAGATTTCTAATCCAATTTAGAAGCCCAAGAACTGAACCCCACTGGCAAAAGATCTGCTCCATTGCTGCCTTCCTTAATCATTTTTATAAAAATGGAAACACTCTACTTTTCTATAAGTTATTTGTGTGTGTGTGTAAGGCTCTCTCTCCTGGTAAATACATGAGCTTCTACCTCTTTTATTTATTATTTATTTATTTATTTATTTTAATTTTTTTTGAGACAGAGCCTCAAGTTGTCCCCCTGGGTAGAGTGCCGTGGCATCATAGCTCATAGCAACCTCCAACTCCTGGGCTCAAGCGAGTCTCCTGCCTCAGCCTCCCAAGTAG